GTTTCTCTCGTTTTAACTTGTAGCTATTGTTTTGTTACTGTTTCTCTCGTTTTAGCTTGTAGCTACTGTTTTGTTACTGTTTCTCTCGTTTTAGCTTGTAGCTATTGTTTTGTTAATGTTTCTCTCGTTTTAGCTTGTAGCTACTGTTTTGTTCTTTTTAGCATTTACTGTTCTGTTAATTTTAGCTTTTAGATTGACTTTTAGTGATAGTTTAAACCATTTGTGCTATTAGCTACAGGTTAGCACATTTCAGCTCCGAGCATCTGTTTTGTTTGTTTTAGCTGGTAGCTACAGTTTTGTTATTGTTTCTTTAGTCCTTTTAGCTACTGTTTTGCCATGTTAATTTCTAATCTACTCCTTTGCTATATTTATATAAAAATAGCACATATTTAGCRAAAGTTGAGCTAATTAATGTATTTTGGCTACTGCTAAGCTAATTTTAGATTTCAGCATCTTTTTTGTTTCTCTGATTTTAGCTTTTATTTTGTTAAATCTAGATTCTGTCTACAGATGAGCAGATTTTGGGTTTTAGATATTGTTTTCATTTCTCTGCTTGTTTTAACTTTAAACTATTGTTTTCCTCTTTTTAGCTATTTTAAATCTTCGGCTTGTGTTCTGATTATTTCTCTTTTGTTTGTTTTAGCAATTTTAGTTGTAATTGTCCAACGTTTTCTCTTTTTATTTTCAGAAGATAGCCTCGCTCCCTGCAGGTCCGTTTGGTTCTGAGGAGAAGAACTCACTCTAAGTCAGGCAGCGGCTGATCAAAGTCATGAAACTCCTCCGGCAGAGTGATGGCGTTGTAGGCTGCTTCTCTGTTCTCCTCTGGAAGATCCACCACTCCTAAAACACAAAAAATATTAAAGAGTTTAATCACTGAGGAAGATGATATTGGTTTATGRCACGTTTCCAACCTGGTCGAAAAGCCATCTTGATCTTGATGAATGCCTCGTTACAATCCGCCAGCAGGTACTTGGCCTTCCTGTGGTAGATCCTCACCACCCCCAGCAGCAGGTGACCCGACGTCCGCAGAGCCATCTTCACCTGGACSAACGAAAACGATGAAATAAAGAAATAAAGTGAAAAAGTCACGATGAAAGATAACGAACCTTTGGTGAGATGATGCTCTCCACGCTGCTCTCCAGGTTGCACTCAAACACGTGAGCCTTGGTCAGCTTCTTGTCCCAGTGGGCCGCAAGCCAGATTTTGGCCAGCGGCCCACGTTTGCTGAGTACAAAGTGGGCGTAAAACATGGTCTCTACGTCCGCTCAGCACAAGGGGAAGGGGAAGGGGGGSCGGCGTTCGCCTGGAGAGAAACAAAATGAAACAGAGCTCATCAAAGCTGTGTCGTACTTAAGTTTAACCATTTTAAGTTGTGCTTGTGAGTTATTTATTTAGGAATTTAAAATATTCATCGTAGAAAAACTCATTCACTGATTCCCAGATACTTAAACCAATCCTCCTATTTCTTATTTAATTAATGTGAACCTTAAATCTGACCCATAAACGCAACAAATAATGTTTTCTTCTCTTCCTTCAAACAAAACTGTAAATAAGACAAACCTGACATCATCACATGCTACAGAACATGAGGGCTATAATGTAGAGCACGTGTGTTAATGTTTACATGTTGTTTTTAATTCAGTGTTTTGTTTATTTTAGCTTGTGTTCTGTTCATTTTAGCTTGTATTC